ACACGATACACAGGGTTTTCCACTGGGGGAGTAAAATGAGAGCAAATCCGGTTAAAATTCCAAACGTGACCTTTTCTCCTCGCTGAACAATGAGAACGACATGAAATAGCTGCATTTGCCACCTTACAGACGTGAGGAAAGAGAATATAGCAGCTATGTCGGGCTTGGAAAGCCTCTTCTAAGAGCTATGTTTTACTGTCCTTTTTGTTGCTTGCCAGTCAGGAGAGAATGCTAATTTAACAAGGCCGCATTTTCCAGGACAATACCTATCAGAATGAGCTCACGTTCTTCAGCACCACTCCCAGGAACTACAGGAATAATGCCTGCATTTCCAGCCACACTGTTTATGTGTCTCAGGAGGAAATTTTGTGGGTTAGAGTACAGGTAATAAATTGTGTGTGTGTTAGGGAGGGATTGCTAGCTTGTTTTTAAAAATTATACTCAGTTTTTTTTACCACGGGTAAAAATGCAAGGAGATTAATGTATGCCTAAAAGGAAATGATTAGGAAAGAACTAACAGCGAAAGCAGAAACATGGGTTCATGAAGGTGGTGGGAGAGTGTATTTTGACTGCTTCCTCCTTCTGTATCAATTTGATATTCTTTAAATATTCATAATCCTAACAGTTGCAGAATTTTTTATTTTGGGCTAAATATATGAAAGAAAAATTGATCTAAGTTTCTAGCACTGTGTTAAACAGCAAACAATTTCTATAGTTGTGCTTTTTTTTTTTTTTTTGGTACAGCAGCTGTTTGAATTTAGTCTTTGGGTAAATTAAAGCATCTCCTGTTGTCAAACTGTAGTCAAACTTAAGTTCTTGCTTTCCACATGCTACATTTCCCCCCCAGTTGCCTTCTAGCAAAAAGATGCGGACATCTTTATAGTTGTGCCTGCAAGTCCAGCTTTTCTCAGGCTAGCTGAGCCTCTCCCTGGCTATGAGTGACAGCCATTTTTCATGCTGCTCAAAGACCACAACTGTCACTGCAATTCTCTGTGCCAAACCTCTAACCTGGCTCCTGCTCCTCACAGTACTCCAAGGACGTGACACAAAAGGATTGGCATGACAAGTGAGTGAAAAAAGATGCTGGGTAAGGCAGTCCTCAAAGTACAGGCTAAAGCCTCCACAAGGCAGACATTTTGTGAAGAGAGTCAAATGACAGCCCATGTCTTTTTAATGAATGACATGAAGGAAATCCAAATGGAGTGAACTTCTTGAACACTAGGGGGCTCCATTGGACCACAACCTATATCCCAGTGGCACATGAATGACAAGGATTGTTTTTCATTGTTTTTACCTGTTTACCAGGGTGATTTTCCACAACCAAATAGGCCCTTTGTAATGGTCAGAAACTACAAGATGACTAAGGTAGGATGCTTGCCTTAATAACAGGCAATTTAGCTTTTAAAAGGAAAATAAAATTTGAACTTCGTAATACCAAGAATGCTAGGGAGAAAAATGACTAGGATGGTAGAAATAAGAATATGTATTTCAACCCGATGTCACTGACTTCATGGCTACAATTTTTCCAGAAAAATAATTTCCAGGTAATTTGCAACAGCCAGGCTTTTCAATCTCCCTATTGTGTTTCTTCAGTGCCTTTGAAGTTCAGAGATGTAGATGGAATTATTTCTACAAGGTGTACCATTCAAAGAAAATTTTCTGAAGTAACAAAAATCATTGGATCTTTGGAAAACTATCTCTGCACCTTTCTCAGTATATCCATTATTTCACTTTGTAAGACAGTTATTTCTCTTTTAAGATGATATCTACTACCCCCATCAAAGGCTGATGTCATTGGATTTCCTGAGCCCAAAAGTATTTATACCTTAGCTGAGTTAGACACTTCCACATTACCTTCATATCTGCATGTATATCTAGAAATGTTCTGAGGTGTCTTTTTAGGTGCATCATGCATCAAGAACCAGAGCAAAAGCTAAGAAGCACCATTTAGGCTGACAGAATGATGTGCTGATTAGACCACTGTCTGTCCTGAAATGAAACAGCCCTGAAATATCATTAATTTTATGCTTGAAACTGCTGTTTGATCTTGATGTGTAACTTATTCCGAAGATCGCAGTATACCTTGCCCTTTGTTCAGAAAATTCAGTAGGAGCCTTTGGCCAAAAGCCCAAACTCTATTTTGAATTAGGAAGATCAGAGGCTGCCTGTCCAGAGAACACTTGTCTTTTCCAAGGGGATAGCAGGGCCAAAAGCATTTTGGAAATGTGTAGGAATATATGATACAAAAAGAACATTGATATTTAAACATTGGGATGAAAGAAGATACTATTATTCTTTTCTTCAAAACTAGGCCAATCAGACTGCCGAAAGACCTACCTGAGGCATGAAGTGGGGTTCTTTTGGTTACATTGTCTTTCACAAAGATGGATGCACCCTGATTGATGAGTGCTTCTACACATTCCGTGTGTCCCTTAAAGGCAGCCAGATCCAGAGCAGTTCGGCCTTTCTCGTCCCTGATGTCCAGGTCCACCAGTGACTGCAGCAGGACTTCCAAAGCTTGATGGTGCCCATTGTAGGCCTGCAGAGAAGAAGATGATGGCTCACGTGCACGCTCACCTTGAACCCCACCACGACTCACAAGAGGGCTGAGCCGCCCAGGTCACAGACAGAGGCCTCTCTGAAAAGAACCTCAGATAAACTTCTGAGATAGTTACGGAAACACAGGCAAACTGGAGAGTTAAACTGAAAAACCAAAAGGCACAAGCCTCACAGTTACATAAAATTTCTTCATGTTCTTTATTGTTTATTCAATAATTCATTCCAACAGCACTAAGTGCATTAATGTGTGTGTGTGTGTGTGTGTGTGTATGTGTGTGTGTGTATGTGTATATATGTATATATATATGGTTTTAGAGGTTTTCGTCTCAGGATGTGTGTGCTTGACAGAGTGAGAGAGACAGAGATAGTGAGAGAGAAAGTAAGAAATCACCCTTGAGGGGACAGCCTCACTGCAATCCCTTTTTCTCCATTCTCCTCCTAGGATCTTGGACACGTGTGCACACGTGCCCAGCATGATTTTCAAGCTACCCAGTCCAGGATGCGAACTACGATTAGCCATGAGGGAGTCCAGCAATGTAACTGCTGTGCCATCTGCTGGCACTGCATTTTAATATTTATATGTATTGATCTAATAATCTAATACAGACTCATAGCTGAAAGCATTAGTATATACTTATAGCTGTCAGTTCAGCCCTACACCTACCAATATAAGCAGAATTATTTTCCAGAAGACTTTTTTGTTCGAAAACCTGGAGGCAAAAAAATTAAGAAAAGCGCAGTGGGCTTTGGGATCCAACAGAGGCATACAGACCTCCATTACAGCCCAACGGTTTACTCCTGGGTTGTTAAAAAAGTCATGTATGTTCTATTCAGAGATGCATCATGACCTTTCCCATAACCCAGAAACTTCTAACCTTGTGACCTTGGGTGAGTTTCTTAATTTTATTAAGAGTTCTTTTTTGCCCTATAAAATGAGAGCAATAAGAACTGCTTCCCAGAGTTGCTCTGTAGGTGAATAGAGATAACATTGTACAGACTTTGCATATCATCTTGCATGTAGTTGACGGTGCTCTCTTTCCATTGATAGCAATAAAAGCACAGAAACAATGAGGAAAATAAAGCCCATGTTCCAGAACCAAGTTCAGATGCACCATGAGGTCCTTTACTATGTCAGGATTAAGAAGTTACTCCTACTAAATACTACTAAAAATTAAAATTAAATACTAATTAAATACTAATACTACTAAAAATTAAAAAGAAAAGTCCAGAAGATAACTTTTTATTGAGTCTATAAGGTAAAAAATGTGTGTGTATATGTGTGTGTGTGTGAATATATATATACACATATATACATATATACACATATAAACACATACACATATGCACACATTACCTCCCCACACACATACACACAAAGGCAAACAATACTAAAAATAAGAGAGAAGATGGGGGCAGCAGGTGGTGTGCTGGTTAAGGAGGCTGGACTCCCATATGGCTGACTGTGGGGTAAGTCCTGGACCCAGTGGCTTGAAAATGATGCCAGGTGTATGTGTGTGCATGCCAAAATCCCGCGAGGAGAATGGAGAAGGGCCTGTGGTATGGCTGTCCCCCCTGGGGGGTAATTTTTCACTTTCCCTCTCACCGTCTGTCTCTCTCTGGTGAGTGCATGTGCCCTATAGCAAAAACCTAAAGAATAAAAAAGAGAGCGAGAGAAAGCGGGGAAGGTTATCTGGGAGAGGACAGCTGAGGGAGGGAAGTAAAGAAACAGGAGACGCGGTCCCAGTGTCTTCAGCAGCCACGGCCCTTTCTTATGGCACTCGCACTTTTTATCTTTCAACTGCAGATATTACTCAAGGCACAGTGTATTTGAAAAACTGCCTGACCCACACAAAGGATTAATTTCCTAAATACACAAAAAGCTCTTAGAATCCATTTTAAAAACTAGGAAAATATGCAAAGGGCATGTCATGACAAGGCAGCTGAGAGAAAACTAATATAAAAGGCCAATAAAAATATGAAAAAATATGTAAATTTAAAAATACTATTTTTCACCTACCAGACTAGCAATGATTAAAAAGTTTGGTCATGCCCGGTGTTCGTTAAAACACCAGGAAAAAAGCAATCTTACACTCTGTTGGTGGGAGCATAGATTAGTGTGACATTTGTGGAGGGTGCTTTAACAAAATGATCAAAACTTTTTAGGAAAAAGAACTAAGTTGCAGACATTACACATAACATGATCTCATTTATATAAAAAGTAAATGCAGGGCCAGCAGGTGGCGTGGTGGTTAGGGGTGCTGGACTCCCACATGGACAGCAGTTCGAGTCCTGGACCTGGCAGCTTGTTCTCTCTCTCTCTCATTGAAATTTAAAATAATAATAATAAATAAATAATTCTTAAAAAATATTATGCCTACTTCTACATTCATAGTGAATTTTTTTTTTTTTTGGAGAGGTTTTTGCTATAAGGCGCCTGCACTCGCCAGACAGACAGAGA